GTGCAGGTCACAAAAGCAGACTTGCCCTTAATTGGGTTAAGTGCTTTGGTGCTTTGTGACATATGCCTCCATTACCAAAATGCAGTCACCAATGCATATGAAATATATCTGGCGATTCTTTGCAGTGTCCACAAGCTCATCGAGCAGTCTCTTGGGAGGGGCTCATCCAATTGGCGTGTACTCAATGCATGTCCGGCATGTGCATATGAGGTATGTATTAGTCAACTGCATCATTCTTTAATTCTAACAAGGTTTATTGAAAAGCTCGAAGGTGAGCCTAAGCTATGATGGCGCCATATGTTCAGCATGGATGGCAACAACTCCCTCAAGCAAATCACACAAGTCGGTGAACGTCACTGAGGAGATACACAAGTCTTCGAAGAAAGTGATTATCATCTGCCAGACGAGTTCGTCAACCACTTTGCAGGTGAGGTCAAGGGTGGCGCACGCAAGCAGCAAAGCAATCATGTCAGCAACTCATTGCAAGATGATGTCGACGGTGACACAAGTGATGAGGAGAATCAACATGACGATGAAGAGGGCGACCCCACGGATGGTGCAGATGAAGTTGCATCATGCACAAGAACTGGAAAGCAGCTGCGTCAGAAGATAAGAAGCAGATGTGAGGTATATTCAAGGAGATGGGAATATTTGCAAGCACATGCCGTCATGGCTTTATCTTATGGATATGTGACATGACAAGGAGTGGTGAACTGTAAGTTATATCTTTGGATTGCTATAAGCTGAGCTAACTATGCAACTCAAAGTGTGAAGTATCTACTCACGATAATAGCTAAGATGGTTGACGTACTCGAAGATCGAAGCCTGGGACACTATGACATCGGGTGTGGCTTCGAAGAAACAATCAAGCGAAGCTCCCTCAGTCCTGAATGGCAGCAGCTGCTGTGCTGCATGATCATCAACACATTCCATGGGTATACACACAACTATGCATGTCAGACCAAGAACCACCCCAACATCATTGAAGGGACAGACCTCGAAGACAGCGAGACTTTCGAACATGTGTTTAGCGCATCGAACAGTCTTGCTCCAGTGACTCGGTACGTCTCTGCTTACCGTCGACACGTCTACATCGATGAGTACTTCCATCAATGGGATGACGAGAAGTACGTGAGCCTTAGCACGATGATCTACAATAATTATATTCAAGCCCTCAATATCATCGAGATGGAGTCCATTGCTGTTGTCGAATCTATGCAATCACTAGATGTCAAGAAAGAAGACCTTGTGCAGTGGCATGCAGAAGAGCACTGCTACTTTCAGACTCTCAGACAGGAGCCGCTCTGGGATGTATATGCGGTAGCATATGTTGAGAAGTTACAGGAGTGGCAAAGCATATGTGCTCAAGTTGAGACCGATGCAGGTCTCTTCCTCACTTCCATTCCATCTGACTATACATTCATCTCACTGACTGCTGGAAATGTCGACTACTATGCTGAAGTTTCACATACACAGAAGCTGGAGACAAGGCGTCGATATCTCGAGGAACGTGAGTGTACCTTGTTGCATGACCTGCTGGCAATGGAGGTGCAAATGAACATATCACAGCGCTGGCAGCTGACCGATGACAAGTATGTCAAAACAGCCAAGTATGTTGCAATGTGCACATATCACCATGCATTGAACAACCTACAGCAGCTTGTTGTGCAGCGACTGTTTGAGCTGCACAAGCTGAATCTATCTCAGACAGGTGCGTGATTTTTTCATTTGATTTATAGATATCCGCTGAACATTCTACATGTTTCAGCCTATCGTGCTCGCACACACATTGTGAAGTCTTTGCAAGCTCGCTGCAAGGCCATACGGCATGCCGTCAAGGCATACAATACTGCTGCACTCACAATCGATCCTCCACGCCCGATGCTGTAATTGGTCGAAGGCGTCACATTATAGTTTCCTTGATGAGTTTACTCTGTTACAGGACACACGGAATGATGTTCGTGATAGGCCATGGACAAAGCCAGCTATCTGGGAGCTCATGAAGAAGTCATTGCACATTGAACATGCACACGAGGAGCTGATTCGCTGCAACATTGAGGCGTGCTGGCTGTATACTGCAATACTAGATGAAGAGCAAATCTTTATGTCTGTACTAGAGCACACACACCAGCATGACCCAATGCTATATCCTTCACTACACGAGTTCTGTGAGAGGTGGAGGAACGTGAAAATCTGCCATCTTGCTCAGCTGCAGGAACTAGCTGACCTCAACAGCTTCACGTGTGACCTCTCTCCTGGCAAATGCAAGGGTGGTGCTGCAGCTGCTCTCAAGCCACTGGTAATTATCTCCGGCAGTGTTGTCAAGCAGGAGCAAGATGAGGATGAAGGACTTGAGGCACTCGATGAGGACATTGAAGGTGATATCGGTGGCCTTGTAGATTATATTGCTAATCTGTAACTACTGTACATATTATGGTTCCCTGCAATCAAATCACCTCACCGTGTTGAACATTCTTGTGATTTGAGTACTGAGAGCAATACAAAGTGGCACCGCACAGTGCACACTAACTCTCTCGTGATAGTATCATGCTGGACTCAAACTATGATAAATTGTGTTCTTGAGGATTACGGCAGTTCTACACTGTCAAATACAGTAGTGCAAGTGTAAGTACAGCATCTATTATAGTGTCTGATGCATAGACTGCAGTGTATACATGTGAGGTGCATAAAAGTGGCGGGACTCCATTCTACAGCCACAGACAAGCTGCAACCACAGTCGAGCTACAGGCTTGCACTCTCACGACTCGCATGTCATGCACTAACAACTCACTTCGCACCTTCTTCTTACTCAACTACCTTCCCATTCCCAAGTCACCTCTGTCTTGATACCATGAATAAATACTATGTCGTTCTCAGAGGCAAGGTTCCGAGGATCTACACTGAGCAGTGAGTTTAAATGAATTACTTGAGATGCAAGTGAAGCACTCAAATCAGCTCACTCATGCTCATCATTCCATGCAGGCTGCCAGTCACCCTGGGTGCATATAAGAACCCACTACCAGTTGTTGTTCATGGCGTGAACATTGACGAGGCATATGAAGTGTTCAAATTGCAGCCAATCTTCCGTGACACAGCCGGAAGTCTCGATGAGCCTGCTGATGAGGTGGTGGACCAGATTGTGAAGGAGTTACATACCTCTCACATAGCAAAGATGATTCTAGGCAATCACAAGGTGAAGTACATTGTGTGGTGTGGGGCGAAGACCGGTATATTCTTGAGCTGGTGAGCTTTTCATCCGAAATCAACAGATTAACTATGCTCACATTTTTCAGGGCTGACTGCAAGCCCAATGCTCAGAACTTTCTGAATGTGAATCATCAGAAGGTGAAGAACCTTGACGAAGCCATCACATTGTACATGTATAAAGGGATCTTACCTGACATGCGTCATTATACTACTATGGAGGATTCAGTATTGCGATCGCGCATCGTAAGCGGTAAGTTGGCATGCAGACTCATTCGCAAGTGCTTTCACTGAAGTCGAATCTCATCAGATGACATACAAGGCCACATGAAGCCATTAGCATCTGTCAGAGCTGACGAAAATAGCATGTTCAGATTCTTCCAAGGTGCGTGCCTAGCTCATGACACATCACTGATATACATTGATTGTCAGCAGGTCTTACGATGCAAGCGCAGACTATGCATGTTCACACAGGAAGATGTGACACAACTCAATTGCAAGAGGCTACATGGTGCAATGATTCTTCTGACACTGGCCACACTCACACAGCCCGAAGGGCGGCTTCCACCTCCACACAGCAAACATCAGAAGCTCACATTTCCATGCCTGCTGGGAAACTCTCACCTGTGCCTGCCCACCTCCATATGTGATCCCCACTCAGCAGTAGTTCATCATTTCAGCAAACACTGACAGAACAAAGTCCCACCGCGGGGTACAAACATGTCATGAGGGGCAGAGGAGTCCCATCTGTGGGACCAATGACAGACAGATACCTTCACTCTCATGGGTATGCTCTCGCAGTGCGTGACCACATTATAAGGGCATTTGAAACTGCAGATGATGTTATAGAGTTTGTGCAGTTGCTTTCCTTCAAAAATTTGCTGCCAAGCAGAGAGGTACCAGAATCTGAGCTGGAATACCTTCACTCCATCATTGAACTGCATCCTCCTTACCGATATGACTGATAATGTATATTGATTGTTGTAGAAACTACTTAAAATGCGAAATTTCTCTGGAGCTGAAGGAGTGGGTGTAATTCACGTGCAATAGACTTTGAGATCCCATCAAATGTCAACAGACGAAAAATCTCACGAAGTGCTTCTGACCAAGTGCTTCTCTCCGAGGATCATCACACATTCTAATATGGCTCAGACTGCAGCTGAAAGGCTGCTTCAACACCTCTCGAATGCCAGGTGCAAGAGCATGGCAAGAGCTCTGAAAATGTCAACGACACCTTGGTGGCACAGGCACAAACAGAAGAAAGTATACAGACTTACTCCCATTGAGAAGGCCCTCCTGGTCAAGAAATGATGGAAATGCAAGGAGACACTGAATGAGGTGCTGAATCAGGTGCGTGAAGAGATCTGGAAGCAAGTTTTCATGCTCAGGGAGTGCTTTCAAGACCACTCTCACGACTACTACTATCGCCTGATCATGCAGCACCCCCGCAAGTCACCCAACCATCGTAAGGTCAATATATGGAACACGTTTCAGCACCGAGAACTCCGCCATCTGAATGACAGTGAGTTCTATTATCACAGTCACCTGTTCCCTGAGATTGACTGAACATCGCTGTGAACGATCAGCCCTCCCACCAGACATTCCCAAGTACAAATCATCAGATGTTATGAATGACTTACAGGCAAAGTGGAGTGCAATGTCAAAGGAGGAACGTTTCACGATAACTCAAGATGACATCAAGAGCTTGGAGGAGAAGTGAGATATGAAGAAGTACTCAAAGCATAATGTCACACTCGCTGCATTCTCTGATGCTCAAATGACTTTGGTGGGGATTCAGGATGAGGTGAGTAGCTTTATTTGTCGAGTGGTGCCCAATACTAACCTGACCGGTCAGCTGCAGGCTCTCAGCATGTGCACTGGTGTCGAGACCCTCTTGATCACAGTTCGAACAAACTCAGAACTTTACAGCTTGTCTTCTACAGCAACCAATGCCTTGCAGATTACCTTGAGATGACGACAAAGACCTCAGTTGAAAACTACGTAGTACACATGGAAGGGTTCATGATCTCTGGGATTGAAGGTACCCTTCTATTCCATATGCTTATCCTGTCATGCCCTAATGGTGTTCGGGTAGGGTTATTGGTAATCATGTCCAGCAGACGCTCCAGCTTAAGGCAAGAATCTCCAAGCTGGTCCTCGCAAAAGCCAGTAAGTATGATATCATTCTGTCTTGCCATATATTCACTAATGCATGTTTAGACGAAGTTTCACTGGTCCCGATCAAATGCATGGTCTACCAGAACTTCGAAGAGAACATTACTGCAAAGTATCACCTCACCATCATCAATTATCTGCTCAAGAGGTTCTGTTGCCCCAGTGACATCAGCTCAAAGAGCGAGCTGGAGCTTCTGCTTCATGCTTGGAAATCAGGTGCAACGTACTGGGAATATCTGTCTGATGAGGAGTTCAGACAATGGGAGACCATGCAGTTCAATGTGAAGATGGCAGAAATGTGTGGCAACAATGACAACAATGGTGACGACGCTCACATCAACATCACCGATCATGCCTATGCAGCCAGAGATGAAGCAGGCTTGCACCATGGATAGTCGATCCACCTCGAATGTCAATGACACTGCTGCCCTGATTGCTACCACATTCCTTGCCATCACCATGGTCTCTGCCCCCATCAATTCCACTCCCCCCCTCCCCCCGTTGATGCACCTACCTCGTCCACTACCACTGTGCATGTTGTCGATATCTTTGCTGCTTCGATTGAGCTGAACAAATGGTGCAGAACATCCAGTGAGCTGTTCGCCAATTTCATCAACCTCAATGTCATCTCCTCATCTGATGGGTCAGCTGTACCTATCATAAAGACAATGAGGAAGCTGTGTTCTGACAAGGGGAAGAAACGGGGCCCACATAACAGGTCAAACTGAGCACAGGAGGAGAATGTCAGCCCCGTAGCCATTGCAGATGTTTGAGGTGGTCACAGCAGATGCATTGACGAGCAAGCAGTATAGTTGGACTCTATAGGCATTGATCTATGCAGGTGCCACCTCATTCTGTAGCTTGCCTGGCAGGGGCTTGTAGTCTCCTGAGAATCTTGTTGTCAAACTATGTTTTGCTCTCACATTGTCTATCATTCATTTGTTCCATGTCTATTTCATGCAGAATATACTTCCTGATATTATACTCTAAAGAGATAATGAAAACTCCGTGGAAAAAATGAGTCTGAGTCATATGTTGCTTGTCACCATTGTGTCACGGTTTTACCTGACAAGTCATTATAGGAACAAATGCTATTAAGAAGCATATCATTTTTTGTCATTTCTCGTCGCACTAGAAGTCACGTGACCTAATAAGATAAGATAAACGAGGCATCCAGTCACATGACCTCAGATCTCTCTCGGCATTGTCACGTGACACTGAACTCCTCGGCATGGCGTCATATGTCGCAATCGCCATGACGCCATATTGCGTGCTCAAGAGGAGCTCCGTCTCCACGAGTTATCATTAGGCAGCCAATCAGGATAATTGGGACACATCGTACGATTGTAGCACCATCCAGTAGAATAGCGTGTGACTCGCTTATGTAGTACTGTACAGTAGCTAGACAATCATGTATATAAGGACCAGCGAGACGAGGAGGAGACCTCAGTCTTATTCTCCTTCGTCCACCACTACCATCACAGAGGGGTCTTACCAGACACTCTCAGTGTGCTATACATATCTTTGCATTCTCACCGTTGTGATAGCACCTCTAGCCTCACCAGTAAGTTTTGCTCTGCGACCAGCTACTAGGCCTCGTCAGTGGGCACGTCGTATCGCCACAGCTCGTCGCTGTAGGCTCTCAGCCAGGAGACCCTCAAGGGGACTCCTTATTTTGGTTGTCTATCTTTGTCGTCGGCGTGCCGTGACATTAGAATAAGACTGACCTTTTACGCCCCTACCAAGTGTCTAACACTGGTAGCCGCGCATTTTCGCCCAGAGATACATCCGCCCAGGGCAGGGCTTTTTCCACACCACTTCCCTCATACACTTCTTCCGCGTCTCTACCGCCTAAGCCGCTTCCTTCCTTTAAAAGGAACAGCGCTGCACCAACCGGTAAAGCGCCTCAAGTACACAACGGTATCGTTCCGCCCAACGGACGCTACCACCCGTACCAACGAGACCCCCGTCGCACTCATCGTCTAACTCAGGGGAATCTCGTTCGAGCGAAGCCTCCACAAGCTAGCTCACAAGGCATTACAGCGGAGCGTCGCCAGCAAGAACGCAAGGTTAGCCTCTGGCTCGAAGGCATTCCAAAAGACGCGCTTACCCCATTCATTCCTCTCCAACCCCCTCATCCCTACGCTACATTCCCCACCATCGACGTCCTCAATTTCGCGCTCTCAAAGAGCTATCATCCTCGTGGAATCCACGAGAATCCTAAAGGCACTCTTCCCGAAAACATCGCCCCGACCGTATACGCTACCATCCAGCGATACAAAGTCTTACAGCAGCCCCACATCGCGGCCAAGTTCACGGAAGAGCAGTTACAGTGCCGAGATAGAATTCTGCGACATCTATCCGTTATAAACGAGCGCATCGGAGCCGGACACGATTTCACCTTCATCGATAGGCGCATCGCTATCAAGCTTTGCGTAGGACTAGGGAAGATTTCCTTCAAGGGAATCAATAAAAAGCAGGAGCGCGTAGGAAAGGAGATAGTGAAGTTTGAAAAGGAGTCGTGCTACTGGCCCTACTAAGACCAGTAATATCTTTTTGTATCCCGAGTTTCATGCCGAGATACGCAATCGGCTTTATATACGAGAACTACATAGTGAACTTCTATCGCCCGGCGCAGGGACAACTCACAGTCATCTGCACCGCGTACTTCATCTATCAACCTCTCGTCACCAATTGGCAACAAGTACTCTATCACTACACGATACAAGTACACGGGTACACCACCTACTCGGCACCATTCCGGCTCATCCCTGATCTTGAGAAAGAGCAAGAATATTGGCACGACCGAGCAGAAGCTCTACGAGAGGAGTTAGAAGAAGAAGGACTTATCGAGGAGAACCCCGAGCCCTTCTAAGGCTGAGAATCGATCGATTAACACATTGTCCGTCACATCATTCCCATTATCCTCGACATCGATCCCCATGTCTCAATACAACCTTGGAGGTGTTTCGTTCCCCGGAGGACACACAATGAGTGAGCCTGCTGACCCCTGGAGGAGTCAGGCCACTTCCACATCATCGGAAGCAGGACCAGCTGCCCCTGCTGAAGAACCACACAACAGCAGCACACCCAAGGCGTCGGAAGTAGTCAGAAACCCGTCGCCCACTACCCTGCCAGCATTTTCCACACCTCAGACTTGGGAATGGCAGGGAGTCCCTTATGCAACCATTGAGAAAGCTGCCAATGCCGCTGCACCCAACACCATCCCAAACGACGTTAAGGAATGGGTAATGAATGTGGTACAGTCATTCGTCATGAGAGACTGTAAGCTCGTACAAAGCTTTACGTCAAAAAATGGATGAGCGTCACGAACGCACGGTGGCCTCATTGGAAGAAGAAGTACTGGCTCGAATTCACGTCGAAATAATGGCAGTAGAAATACGAGAACAGTTAAAAACTGCAAGAGCCCAAATCAGCACCCTCTCCACCGACAACGAACGGCTCATCAAGTCAAATAATAGTCTGACAGCCGAAGCCCAAGCAATCCGCAAGGACTTCGAAGATTACAAGGATGAAGTAAAGGGTCAGATGGACGCCCTTTACGGCAACATGGTCACCCTGAAGGAGGCCCAGGAAAAGACCACCACCTACATCGTTGGCTTAGAGTCTCGACTCAATAATGCCATTATCAATGCGCCCCCCACAGGTATCCAACCACCGGCCGGCCAATCTAGTCAGTCGCCCCACCAAATCAAGCTCCCCGACCCTCCCAAGTATTCAGGAAGAAAGTCGTCAGAAAACTTTGAAACGTGGTTCACGAACCTACTCATCTGGCTCGACTACAACCATTTCACTGATGACAAGGACAAAATACGGCAAGCCAATGCGCATCTGGAAGGCGGAGCTGCTCTATACATGAAAGAGTATGCAATCAAGCTCGCCTCCGGACAAGACGTTGGTACATGGGCAGAATACACTAGGAAACTAGAAATGGCATACAAGACGCTTGACCCCAAGCGCACGGCACAATCTTTGCTAGATGCACATTGCGCAATCCACCACAAGACAATGATTGCCTTCGCGGAGAATTTCAGGGCATACGCCCCCGAATCAGGATACTCCAACGAAGATTTAATCGTCAAGATCAGGAAACAACGGTCAAGCCACATTCAGACGGTCATGTCGGTAACAGAGACTTTAGATCCCTCCAAGATCCCAACCACTTGGATGGACTACCTGGAATTCTGCCTAGAAATTGAAATCAAACATCTCCAGCAGATGTCGGGCAACAAGTCTACCGTACAAACCACTGGAACCAAGGCGACTGCCCCTAAAGACCCTAACGCGATGGACACTAGCACACGAATCGCCCACGAACTTTCCCCGGAACAAGATAGGTGGCTGGCAAACAAGCTATGCTTGTTTTGTGGAAAGCATGCCTATGAACGAGGAAAAAGGTGCCCCTCCCCCAAGCCAGAGTATAAGGGAAAGAAGTTTCAAACCCGATCTACCCCACGGCAGGACAAGGGAAAGGGCAAGGCAACTAAGGTGCGACAGGTGGGAGAAGAAAGTAGCGAGGATTCATCAGCTCAAATTGCGGCACTGGAACAAGCAATTGCTGCACTTCGCGGGATGAGCACAACGTCAACTACACCACCGTCCAGCAAGGGCAAAAGCAAGGTGAATAGCGCAGGCACAGCATCAATGGCATCGGCATCTACGGTCAAGGACACCAATGCGAGAATCGTCGAGATAAACGAATTCTCAGAGGATTTTCATTACGAAGTGTAGACGAGTCTGGTGTCACACTTCAGGACAATTGTATTAGTACCGTGAGAACGAATGTACCTAGCGACCATATATATATCACATGAGCAGGTTTTTCTAAACATTCGATTGAATTGCCGATAAGATTCGTATCACGGAAGATCCAGACAACGGCACTATTGGATTCTGGAGCATTCTCCTGCTACATCGACCAACGATTTGCTGAGAAGCACGGGTTTAAGATGATACCTCTAAACCATGAAATCTGAATCCTTAACGCAGACACCAGCCTCAACAAGGGTGGCGCAATTACTCATCGTGTAGTCACAAGCATCTTAATCGGGGGGCACCGATCAACCGAGAGTTTGCTCGTCACAAACCTTGGACGCATGTCAATGATCCTTGGCATGAAATTTCTACAAGAACACAACCCCCGAGTTGACTGGGAACACAGAGAGGTCACGTTCTCAAGATGTAGACACACGAGGAAGCAACGAGTCAAAGTATGCGAAGAAGAAGTCAACCTTCTATCGCAACCTCGGCTCGAAGATGAAGCAATTCTCTCTGACGTACACATGGATGACGGGTGGGATCAGGAAGATAACTTCATCAACTGGATAGACTTGCAAGACCAGGATCTTCGTAACATGGTGCACGACATCCTAGGCATAAGCAAGAAGGTGAAGAAGCATTTGGTAGAACAGCCGGCAGAAGAGACACAGGACAAAGAATATTGGTCCAAATTCGTCCCTCCAGAATTTCATCAATTCGGAGATGTGTTCTCGAAGAAGAGCTCGGAAAGAATGCCGACGCGTAAGCCCTACGATCACGCAATTGATCTTGTCCCAGACGCGGCAACCCCGAGACCGACAAAAGTATACCCTATGTCCTTACGAGAGAAGAACTCGCTCGACGAATGGATTGACGGCGAACAAGCCAAGGGCTACATTCGACCATCTAAATCCCCTTACGCCGCTCCGGTGTTTTTCGTTAAAAAGAAGGATGGGTCTCTCAGATTAGTCCAAGACTACAGGGCGTTAAACAGTGTCACTAAGAAGAACAAATTCCCACTCCCCCGAATCAACGATCTCATTGATGGACTCTCAAGGGCTAGTATATTCACTACACTAGACCTGAGATGGGGGTACAATAATGTACGCCTTCACAAGGGAGATGAGGAAAAAGCAGCGTTCATTACCCATAGAGGGTTATTTGAACCCACTGTCATGTACTTCGGATTCTGTAATGCCCCTAGTACCTTCCAGGCCATGATGAACGACGTTTTAGGCGATCTCATTCGCACTGGAAAGGTGGCAGTCTATATAGATGACATCATCATCTTTACGGATAACCAGGAGGAACACGACCATCTGACCAAGGAGGTCCTACAACGACTCTGAGACAATGACCTGTTCGTGAAACCAGAAAAGTGTCACTTCACGACCACTTTCGTCAAGTTTCTAGGACTCATAATCTCAAAAGGGTCGATACAGATGGACTCAGAGAAGGTCGATGGCATGCTCAAATGGCCGGTGCCCACCAAGGTAAAGCAAGTACAAGCATTCCTTGGATTAGCAAATTTCTATCGACGATTCATCAAGGATTTCGGATCGATGACCCGACCCTTGACTCTATTGACATGTAAGGACGCAACATGGAAATGGGAAGAACCTCAACAAAAGGCATTTGAGGCCCTCAAGACTGCATTCACCTCCGCCCCAATTTTAGCGCTCCCCAACGCAGTCCGTCCCTTTAGATTAGAAACGGATGCCTCAGACTTCGCCACAGGCGCAGTCCTTGAACAGTTGGGAGAAGATGAACTTTGGCATCCTGTCACATATTACTCCAAATCACTCAATGAACACGAGCGAAATTACGAGATCTACGACAAGGAAATGCTAGCCATCATTCGGGCTTTGGAAGAATACCGGCAGTACTTCGAAGGACACCCTCACCCGGTTGAGATATGGTCGGATCACCTTAATCTTACCTATTTCCGTCAAGCTCAAACATTGACCAGACGACAAGCACGTTGGTCACTTTACCTTACACGTTTTAACTTCATTCTCCATCACTGCCCCGAAAAGACAATGATGCATGCCGATCCTCTGTCCAGAAGGCCAGATCATGAGAAGGGGGTGAGCAATGACAATTCAGGGCAGACTTTACTTCGGCCCGAATATTTTGCCATCCATGCAATCTCAGCCACTCATTCTTCCGAAGTTGATGATGCAAAACTTCTAGAAAGAGTGAAATTGGCACTGCAAGATGATGAAATGACCAAAGGTTACCAGCACCTACTAAAAACTGGCAAGCGAGAGTTTGGAAAAGATCTCCAAGAGTGGAACTTCGAGCACGGATTGCTGCTACGAAGAGGAAAGGTCTATGTTCCGAAGGACTCTACGCTGCAGAATGAGCTGATTAAATTACATCACGACATTTCCACCGCCGGACACGCCGGACGATGGAAAATGCAAGAATTGATCAGCAGGAATTATTGGTGGCCAGGGCTTACCATTGATGTCAAAAAGTATGTCCAAGGCTGTGTGGCTTGTCAAAGAAACAAGACGAGCAAGCAAAAGCCGTATGGACTACTACAACCTAATCCAGTACCACAAGGGCCTTGGGAAATGGTTACCTGTGACCTGATTACACAGCTACCGCCAAGCCCAGACCATAGGGGAGAAAAGAAGACTGCCATTTTGGTAGTTGTCGACCGATTCACCAAACATGCTCACTACTATGCCGTAGACGACACGGTGACAGCATCTCAAGTAGCGTCGATTTTCTACAATGAAGTATTTAAACTCCATGGAATTCCTAGGCAGATCATATCTGATCAAGGCACCCAGTTCTCAGCCAAACTATTCCAGGAGTTTTGTCAGAAACTTCACATTAAGTCGACAATGTCTACAGCTTATCACCCTGAAACGGACGGACAAACCGAACGAGTTAATCAGATTCTAGAACAATACCTGCGCATGTACTGCAACTACTGACAAACCGATTGGGCCACATTATTGCCCACGGCAGAGTTCGCATACAATAACCAAGTCTCAGAATCGACAGGATTATCACCGTTCTTCATAGAGCATGGTCGACACCCCCGCATGGCACCCAATGTATTGGAAGGGATACAACATCCATCCCTGGAACATTTATTCCACAACTGTGACCAAGCACAGGAACAAGCACGTGCCGCTCTGTCATTAGCAGCAGAACGTATGAAATGGTATTTCGATCTTAAAAAGCAGGACGTCCCTTTCAAAATAGGAGACGAAGTGCTTATCCGAGGCAAAGATCTCCATGTAAAAGTCAAAAGCCAAAAGCTTGCGACTCAAAACTATGGACCATTTAAAATCCTCGAAAAGATCGGGACCGTATCGTTCAAACTGCAGTTACCAGCAGACATGAAAATACACCCTGTGTTTCACGCTTCAAAGTTAATCATGTTCCATCAAAACTCGATTCCCGGATGCATACCTCCCCCCAACCCTCCAGTCATCATCGACGGAGAGGAAGAATGGGACGTAGAGGATATCCTCGATTCAAGAGTCAGGTATAACAAAACCCAGTATCTCGTCAAGTGGTTGGACTATGACCACAGCGATAATACTTGGGAACCATTGGAAAACCTCACGAATTTCAAAGACAAGGTAGAGGAATTCCATAAGACACATCCGGACGCTCCAAGAGCTAAGCCACGAATGTGCAAGGCACACAGAATTGCCCTGTCTGACCACCCTGATGAGTTCATGTTTTTCTTCCGCCTTCATCCAAATGCCCGAGCCCCCTACAAGGGATCTAGTGAAGCTGTAGGATGGGATGTCAAGTCCGTACAAGACTTAAACATTCCCCCACGTTCCAGAATGCTCGTTGGCACCGGGTTGGCGGTTGACCCCCCAAGATGGACATACATTCGAGTGGCACCCCGAAGTGGGCTAGCCCTCAAAGGAATTGATGTCGCAGCAGGGGTAGTAGACCCAGATTACACAGGGGAAATCAAGGTTTTGCTTGTTAACACGACCAGCGAACCATTCGAAGTCAAGACAGGTGATCGTATCGCCCAGTTCATATGCGAACGCTACGCTCCAGGAATCATTTCGGAGGCAGATAGTTCACTCGCAAAACGAACAATATGAGGCGCCAGAGGCTTTGGCTCATCGGGACGATGAACCTTGAGAAGGGGGTGATGTCACGGTTTTACCTGACAAGTCATTATAGGAACAAATGCTATTAAGAAGCATATCATTTTTCGTCATTTCTCGTCGCACTAGAAGTCACGTGACCTAATAAGATAAGATAAACGAGGCATCCAGTCACATGACCTCGGATCTCTCTCGGCATTGTCACGTGACACTGAACTCCTCAGCATGGCGTCATATGTCGCAATCGCCATGACGCCATATTGCATGCTCAAGAGGAGCTCCGTCTCCGTGGGTTATTATTAGGCAGGCCAATCAGGATAATTGGGACACATCGTACGATTGTAGCACCATCCAGTAGAATAGCGTGTGACTCGCTTATGTAGTACTGTACAGTAGCTTGGCAATCATGTATATAAGGACCAGCGAGACGAGGAGGAGACCTCAGTCTTATTCTCCTTCGTCCACCACTACCATCACAGAGGGGTCTTACCAGACACTCTCAGTGTGCTATACATCTTTTTGCATTCTCACTTTTGTGATAGCGCCTCTAGCCTCGCCAGTAAGTCTTGCTCTGTGACCAGCTACTAGGCCTCGTCAGTGGGCATGTCGTATCGCCACAGCTCGTCGCTGTAGGCTCTCAGCCAGGAGACCCTCAAGGGGACTCCTTATTTTGGTTGTCTATCTTTGTCGTCGGCGTGCCGTGACACATTGGTGACAGTGAGCACACTTGTGCCATGGAGGGTTTGTCATCAAAACTATATAGTAGCATCGTAAATTGTGCTGCCTACTAGTGATAAAAAGGACACAAAAAACGGTGGAGGAACGCTTCCGATATAAGAGATCGGCATGGTCGCTGTTGGTGGCAGTGAGCATGCACTCTGCACCTCCACTTATGACTATGGATATTAGTGGGATTGCTTACAGTATATGATAGGAGTGCATAGAAGAAAAAACGAGAAAAAATGATAGAGAAATGTCCTACATAGAGAAGAAAGAGCATCGCCATCGTCAGCAGCGGTGGGCGTGCATGCCGACACAGTGAGCACCGGGTCTCAATGTGGCCCAGAAGCAGAGACACCGGGGAGTGTGGCCACATGCCTTATCAGGAACGGGCGTGGCCTTATCAATCCCTGATCATTCAGCCACTCAGTGGCCATCGCATTATATCAGCAGGGGAATTTCCACGTACTCTAACAGGAAATAAGCGACGGTATCTACGGTGCTACTGGTGATGGGGGAGGAGCACAGCATTTGGGCCTAGCTAGGCTGCCAAATCTGGTCTGCACGACAACCTTACTAGGCCAGATACACGTGAGGTCCAGGTGGACAACCCATGCATGACAAACGGACATGGACCATCATTCGTGCCCCATTCTTCATCAACCTCATGCACAGACATAGCCTCTGAAGGAGTGCTATCATCCAAAAACCATCAAAGAATGGTGACAGGTGGTTCATTTTTCAGATACTGGGAAAGGTTCTCCTCAGCGATTGACACATCAGCATAGTCACAGTGGTTAAGCATAAGCTATCGCAAAGCTGCAATTACAGCATGGTGGCAAACTAGCAATGGAGTGCACTTAAAATCTTCCTCACTGGGTCGACAGGGATTAGTGAATAGAATCGCAAGCACTTCATCTAGATCGCACCTTGGCAGAGGTAACACATTGTACATCTTCTTCACAGATTGGGAAAAGGCAATCGCATTCGCGATCATTTTCCATTGACCTTTTGTAACTTTGACAATGAACAAATTGTGCCAAACTTTGGCAATCAACATCTGTTCAACAAATGTCAATTCACGTAAAACAGGCGGAACATCACCAAGCCACAGTCCATTCACCAGTGCGCATCTCGGTAATCCACGTTTGTGTTCCAATACAGATCGACAGGAGTCGCACCAGTGTATGAACCTAACACTGGCCATAACGTGTACCACATCAGCAAACAAGACGGACCCATTCAACATTGTAACGGGGTCTGTACGGGCACTACACTCGTACCGCATTATGAACTCTCCATCCCTACAAAGAGGAGAAAGGTCAACAGTTTCCATTTGTACTGAACTGACCTCACGTCCAGGAACTAAGCATCCACAGATGGCACACAGCTCTTCATACACAGCACCATTGTCCATTGAATTGTGCCAATCCTGCAAGATACTCAAACGGTGTTCGTCATTCAACGGCTTCGGAGGAAACAATGTTGAGCTAGGGGCACTCGGCATCATCAGTAATGATTTGGGCAGAGCCGCCTGTGTAAATTCTGGTATGTCAACAGGTTTGAGAACACGAAATGATGGATATACCCTGGAACACAGCCAACAGCGATGAGCTAAAATGTCCTGCACAACTTCATTCAGGGTTCATGAGCCACACAGCACACGTAACCCATGAGCACCAGCAACATTGGTAAGTGAACCAAAGTCAAGTCTGCCAATGAGATCCTCGATTGAAATTTCTGACACAACACAACCAAGTTCGACATCAGGCACCCCCATGCAGCAATTGATGACACCGGTAAACATGTATCTTTCACTACCCATCCACCGAAGTTGTCTGCTCAAGATCAGGAATCAGTTCAGCAGGCGGCAATTGAATATGCAGCATCCGTCAGGTGTAAACGTGTGCAACCCATCACTCACATATTCGAAAATCACAACAATCGATGGATATACCATATCACATTGATGTTCCATCAACAAAGATTGCAGACCGTTCAGTGAGTGCATTCGCGAGTCACGCCCTATGCAGTGCAAATGAGCAGCATCTCTCATAAACCCAATCAGACATCAGTGAGCAATGAATGAGAGAGGGATGTCAACTGCGATTGCAGTAACGTTTTGTGACCAGGTGGAATCCATCGAGCTTATGAGCTTGAACCCCTTAACCGTTGAAGGAACGGATAGGAGGCAGCACAAACCAAACATGACAGAGAAGTCAAGTAGTTCCTCCATCTAAAAAATGCAAGATCTCTGAGTGACACCCCCCACCAAAGGGCTGCTGTAGCACTGAAAGCGATGTGACAGTGCATGCTCAGTATCAGCACCCCCACCGGAGGGGTGCAAAATCTGTTAGAGCAATGTGACTGCGCACACTCAGTACTGGCACCTCCCACCAGAGGGCTGCAAAATCTGTTAGAGTGATGCAACCACGCACACTCAAAACCAATTTCATTAATGTGGGCTATAGTCTGATGGGGCTGCGTGTGCTCAGCAACATAGTTCGAAGTACTGCATGTATAACCTGTTCATGGCCAGGTATCCAGTGATGAACGATGTACTCGATGAAGAACAATGCAGCTAACACAAATGTACGATGCCATTAGAACATTAGTCGACATCATAATGAGCAAGAGTAACGTACCGTGGAAAGCGAAGTTGGCCGCAATACATATATGTTGCTCAGGGGCACGTAAACAGTGAGGGACGACATAGTCAATGAAGACCAACACAACTGATACAAATATGCAATGCAATTAGAACAGTGGTTGAGATCATAAGGAGGAAGAGTTATGTACCATAAAAAGCAACGTTGACCGCGATACATGTAGACATGGGCGTCGCCATGAAAAGGCCGAGTACGAGCGAGTGGTAAATTGAAAAGTGTTGAGTATATAGGAGTTCAACCGATGAGACGGAGAGACCCAGGCTAAGGAGCGAATGACGTAAAGAGAATGATGATGTAAAAATATTCCCTTAAACAGGTCAAACTGCATCTTAAGGATCATGTAAGCTGCAGATCATCCCCATACTGTAATAGCCAAATTTGTCATTTGAAACTGTCGCTCGACCTGGGTAAGGTTGCAGCCAGTCAACACCACCATGTCGAGGTGCTGTCCAGGGATGAGAGCGATACGAGTGAGGAGTGGGATTGGGAGGAGAGTGAGGGGGAGGGGAAGGGCCCTGGAGACTCAATGTACCACGATTACAGGCAGATGCAAAGGATGACATTTTTGGTGAGCAAGCTCAAGGAGCAGGAGGAGATGATGAAGAAGGAGATGGGGAGGGTGATGGAGTTGATGGAAAGGTTGGGGGTTAGGAGGGAGGAGGAGCAGGAGGAAGGGAAAGGAGAGGCGGAGGAGTTTGGGATTGATTGTCATGATTTGAGTTTGGAGAATGTGTTTGTAGATGAGCAGGACCATTCCAAGATCGTGCATTTTTCTTTCCATTTCACCCATCGCTGAGGATTGCTGATGGCACATGCAGGCATGCATCATCGACTGGGAAGTGACAATGACCCGCCCCCCTCTGGGCATGTGCACACATCTCCACCTTCCTGCAATCCTCCCCCTTCACTGCCAAGATCTTCCATACCACGAGCGAGAAGCTCGCACAGTGACCCTGGGCTGGGACCATCAACAGGTGGCCAGTCAACCTCGTGCAGATCATGGGGGAGTAGCTGCACCACGAGGCAGGTGGGGTGCAGCTGTGCATGGTGCACTAGTGCTTGAAGTGGGATAGGTGAGAGGAGGGGCTGGTGAGGAGTATTTTGGGGGTAGAGGAGGAGGAGAAGGAGTGGTTTAGGAGCTATGTGCAGGAGGGGGAGGAGGAGGGGGGAGAGGACATCAGTGAGGACTTGGCCAGGCTCACCGGTGTCAGGGTCGCCGATGCTGGCAGAGAGCACGAGTGATGGGGAGGATGCGAGGCATGTGGGGAATGTGAAAGGTATTGGCAGTGGTGGCAGAATCGGTGACAGCAGAATTGGTGATCTCAGTGGGGGTGGAATGAAGAAGGGCGTGATGGAGGTGCCTGGGCACCCGCTGTGCCATTGGTGAAGAAGGTGGTGGAGGTGGAGAAGGAGTGGGAGAAGGAGTTGGTGCCTGCAGAGGATATTGGTGGGGGGGTGGGAAGGTGAGTTGAGGAGGTGATTGGAGGTGTGGTTGCATGTTGGTGGAGATGGGGATGGGAGGGTGAGGTTGAAGAGGAGGTGGGAGGGACTTGAGGAGGAGAAGAATGAATGGAAGAGGTGAGGGGTGGGGTCCTGTGGCTTTGTGAGTGAGTGTGTGGAGGTGCGCTTGATTTCAGCTTTAGCATTTATTTCCAGTGGTTGGATACGTTGTTTGCATCGCTAGCTTTTTTTCCTGTCTCTCTCTTGCTCACGTTCATGCTCAATGTATAGCTCTAGATGCACATGCACCCCTCTGCCCATGCTGATGAATGGCCTAGTCTTACATATATAATCTGTACATGCTGATGGAGGTCTCCTGTAATTCATACCGTGACTGCCTCTGTAGTGCTCATGTATCTAGCCAAGGATTATTATTCAACTGATTGTGTCCAAAAGATGATGCACTACATGGCGGCGGGGGGTCATCCGAATGATGATTTGTGCTATGTTCTTGCAATAAACACATGCAATGGCTGCTGACCATAGGTTCCATTTTTTTGCTTTCGACATGAAGCAGAAGTTTCTCATCCACCATTTGTACACAATATTTTTCATAATATATATACTTGTACAGTTAATCACATGAACATACACTACAAAGGAGCTACAACCTGCAACCTCAAATAGCTACGCTGCATCACAAACCAAAGTGTACAAAAGGGAGCCATGAATAGAACTTGGATGATATCTTAGGATCCTGTTGCAACTTCTCTACTGCATAATGCAATGCCCTGGCAGCCTGTCTATAATCTGGTAGGCTATCATCAGAGAACAACTGAGAATAGACATCTTCTGCAACTTTAGGGGCAACATCATCCAGAATTGACCACATTGTTGCAATTACCCCACCATAGCCAATGAACAGCATCCCTGCAGCCAGATGGACAGCTTCATCTGCCAGTCTCTTGTCACCAGTGGCTGTCTGACAGGCTGACAAAAAGGCCAATCCTCCATGAGGACGTGTCACTCTGACAACGTCAGATAGCTTCAAGCGTTGCTTATTTGCAAGCAGCAGTCCACTGTTGACTGGGTTTCGTAGGTCTTGAATTCCATGGCATGCAAAATGAACCCAGCTGCACTTTTGTAGCTTGTCCAGTACATCCTCTACTGTTCCATTAGACTCTGTGAGCAAGACCTGGTTGGAGTTCAGCCTGCTGAGCCTTTCCTTTATCTTGGAGATTTCCTCTTGTGTGCCTGGAAGCTGAGAGAATTGACCATCTGAGCTTGGCTGAGCCACAGCCAGTAGATTAATGTTCTGTTGAATGATGTCTTCAGATGGCAAGATGAGTGCACTCAGGGTGGGAGTGTATGATGATATCACAAATTCTGACACCTTGACATTGGGTCCAGTTGTTCCATAGATGCCTGCAGCATGAATAGGAAGAAATGTCAAAGGGCCAGTTGGACACCAAAAAATGCGGCTCAGGTTTTTGGATGTTGCAGTCTGCTTCTAATTCAGTTATCAGTGTCAAAAAAAAAAAAAAGGAAAACACAAAACATACTGGATAAGCAAGTGCATCTAACACTGGCTTGACAACTTTGAACCATAGCTCAGAGAGTATACTCTCATAGAATTTGTATGAGTAAGGCAGATGAGACTCCAATCTTGCAACCCTCTCATCTCTATCAATGATATTGAAGATAGTGTGGCCAGGATGGTGAAAGGCTTCATTTGACATTGTGCTTGTAGGCATATCATCTCTATCAGCGATGTTAGAAATGACACGACCATCCTTTCTGAGCATTTCATTGAGTGATATTCCAAGATCAAATGCATCGTTATATGTGAGATCACTGAGAGGGAGATGGATCACATCTTCTGAGCCAGTCATGATGATCAAGGCATCACAACTTAATTGACTGCAGTTAAGAATGATCACTGGCCCAGAATGAGCACATTCATAAAGCTGGGCCAGCTTCTTTGGCATCAAAAATTGATTAAACCCTGGCATGGATCGAATTTTGAGCAGCAAACTTTCCCACTTAATTGCAAGTGCATGATGCTGTTGAGCTTGTTCTTCAGATGATTTCTGTTCTGTGTCATATCTATAGCTTGCTTGTTCCAATTGCTTTGAGATCTGATCAAATTCATTTGCAAGAATTGAATGCTTGGCCTTCAAGTCATCAAAGGAAGTACGCAATTGCAATTGCTGTCCCCAGACAACTGAATTTCCTTGCTCAAGCCATTCAACAGCAGTGTTATAGTCTTCATGCTCAACTGCTATGGCAGCAGCATCTCTGACAAAACCTGTCGCCTGAGTGAGTGCACTATAGCGCTTTGAAAGGGGCAATCCAAGCCATGCCAGTTTTGAAAGCAAATTCAATGTAATATCACAGGCTTGAAAAAGGGATGAATGTTGCAAAATGTGAGCACAACGAACCCATCTTCTACCAGCATTGAATCTCATAGAAAAAGAGCCAGCAGATGACTGAGCAGCCAATGAAAAGTGAATTATGGCCTTTTGTAAATCAGAAAAATCACTGAAATGCTTAAAACGATTGAAGAAGGAGTTTCCTAGATTGCTTAAAAATATATGCTTGTTTGCATGATCATCTGGTGTGAGCTGCATTGCATTTTGACATGCAACAATGGCCTGATCAACATCTGCAAGATTACCCAGGTGCTGAAAGCGATTTAGAAAGGAGCTTCCAAGGTTGTTAAGATAACTAGGCTTGCTTGTATGATTATTTGGCGTAAGCTGCACTGCTTTTTGATGTGCAGCAAGGGCCTGATCAACATCTGCAAGATCACCCAGGTATTGAAAGTGATGTCCAAAGGAGTTTCCAAGATTGTTAAGATAATGAGGCTTGTCTGTATGATTGTCTGGTGTAAGTTGCACTGCTTTTTGATATGCAGCAATGGCCTGGTCAACATATGCAATATCATGAAAATATTTAAAGCAGCTTAAAAAGGAGCTGCCAAGGTCACTGAGATGGTGAGCCTTATTTGGATGATCATCTGATGCGAGCTGCACTGCTTTTTGATGTGCAGCAATGGCCTGGTCAAGATCTGCAGGATCATTCAGATACTCAAAGCGCTTTGTAAAAGAACTGCCAAGGTTGGTAAGATGGTCAGGCTTGCTTGCATGATCATTTGGTGTGAGCTGCACTGCATTTTGATATGCAGCAATGGCCTGATCAATATTTGAAAGATCTTCAAAACGTCCAAAGTGAATCAAGAAGGAGGTTCCAAGGTTGTTGAGATGGTAAGCCTTATTTGGATGATCATCTGATGCGAGCTGCACTGCTTTTTTATGTGCAGCAATGGCCTGGTTAAGATCTGCAGGATCACCCAAATATTTAAAGCGCTTTGCAAAGGAGCTGCCAAGGTTGGAAAGATGGTCAGGCTTGCTTGCATGATTATCTTGTATGAGCTGCACTGCTTTTTGATGTGCAGCAATGCC